GAGAGAGAGAGAGAGAGAGAGAGAGAGAGAGAGAGAGAGAGAGAGAGAGAGAGAGAGAGGCATCGCCGCGTGAAAGAGGACATGAACAACCGAAGCAAAGCAGGAGACAATACACAATGCTCAATCAAAACCACACCAATGTCGCTATCCCCCCTGATGATCTTCCATCATTACTCAAGGGGGCAGCAGATACCCACCATTTTTTTTTTCTTCGTGAGTAGTGACGGTTCAATGCCCCTATACAATTAAAAACATTATGGAGTGCTGCTACACAGCTGGGAGGCGTTCGGCCGAACACCTGAACGCGTTCTACCGAACACGTTCAGCAGGCGTCTGACCGAACAATTTCTTTTATTCAAAACAATATGTTCGACCAAACACGTTCAGGAGGCGTTCGGCCCGAACACCCGAACGTGTTCGGGCACTCCCAAAAGCCCCAAACACGTTCGGTGTGCTACACAGCTGCTATCCTCCTTATCTGGTTGCCTCCATGAGGATTTAAATTTTGAAGTTTGTTTAACTCGTGATTGATTTATATTTATTTATATTTATCACAAGAGCTGCATGTGTGTACCATTCAGCCACAAGGATGGCTGTAAGGTGTCAACTCCAAGCGGGTGTCGCTTTTGAATTTCTTCCATCGTTTCAAAAAAGTTATAAAAACTATTAAAAAGTTATAAAAAGTATTGAAAACTAAATAGGAAATACCTTTGAAAGCTCAAAGCAGAAAAAGGGAAAAAAAAAAAAAAAAACTTTGGAGCAGAGGAAGGTGGTAAGGAAATTAGATAGGGGACATTCAAGGGAGGAAGGAGCTACCGAATTCACCCGAATAGAACGCCCGCCGCCAGGTCATTATCACTGTATCCAGACCAAAACGTGCATCAAATACGACGGTAATGACCGGAAGCTCGATGTGGGTGACGACGGTAGTCTTAGAGAAGAGGAGGGAGGTTCAGAATAGCTTTTTGTGGAGGGACTTTGAACTGTTTCACAGGGAGCGGGGAGGGGGGAGGGGGGAGGGGGGGGGGCACATCCAGAGTAGCACAGGGAGAAGTTTCGGAGATTACAAGTGAACACATTCTGAACAGGAGGAGGAGCAACCAAGCTGGACTCAGAATGGCCTACCGTCTTCATCGGAATAGAACACCCGGTCATTACATCTGTGTTTGGTGCAACTTTCAGTCCAGATACAGCAATAATTACCAGCCAGTCTATTTGGGCGAAGACGGTAGGGAGAGAGAAGACTCAGGAGTACCGAGTGACAAACGTGCGGAACAGGACAGGTTCAGCCATGTAGCCAGGGTACTTCATTGTTCCTCTTTCTTTTTTGGAAAAAAAACAGAAAAAAAAAAGAACAAAAAAGAACCAAAAAGAACCAAAAAGGAAAAAAAAAAAAAAAAAAAAAAAAAAAAAGTCTTCTCCTCCTACGGGGGACAGCTGTATTAACTACAAGGGTGACATAATAATATAATACTTCATTGTTCCTCTATTTAACGCCGTCGTGAAACTTATCTCCAGGCAAATGTAAGGAACATGAGCCACGCGAAGTTCAGTAACCGAATTGCATCATCTCATTGAAAAGCCAGAAAGCCATGTGTTTGAACTGAACACGGAATGCGGAATGCACCAAGACATACACACCAACTAGGAGCGACGCAATGAACTCAATTGTCAATGGCAACCCTTATCACACGCCTCCACCATCACAGAGTATCCAATGTCGCTCTTCTAACACGGCGCCTGGCGGCCAGAACGACGGCGATCAGACCGCACCTAAGCACTACCTTCTTCCCCCGAATACAACGTACGGTCATTATAGCTGTATTTAAGGCATCTTTCAGTCTAGATACAGCTATAATGACCGTACGTTGTATTCGGGGGAAGAAGATAGCCTGTCAAACTATGACGTCAACAGGTCTTCATGAAGTACAGCTGCCAGATGACGAGTGGAAACTTCAGCTTCACAGAGACCATGCCCATCATCAGAAGGTGCGCCTCTCTCTTAGCTGCCCAATCCTCTTCTTCCCACGCTGCACTCTCTCCCAAGGACCTCCGCTTAATCCCCGTCTGACTGTGTAGGAGCAGCAGCCTGGCTATGGCCGCAGCGTAGCCCAAGAAGCCACACCCAGCAGCTTTTTTCAAGCTACCCGCCAGCACATTCTCCTCCAGCACAGCCAGACTTCGGCGCGCGTGCAAACCAGCCATCGTCGCAGCAGCGCTTACGCTTGAGCCTCCTGGCCAGAATGTGTATAAGACACGGGCTCACTGCTTTCCTATACAGGAAAGTGAGCCTGGCCTGGACGCGTGCGTGCGGTACCCAGTAGCTTCTGGGCCCCGGAAGAGCCCTGGGCGCAGATACTGGAGAGGGCTCTTCTGGAATGTGCCAAGGACGCGGTTGGTTGAGGGGCTCCAACTGCCCGATGTGGCTGCCACTGTGTCCTGCATTCTCATTGGCCGAAAGACCCTTGCCCACGTCGTACACACGGAGCCCAGGGCCTGGTCACACAGCGGCTGTATTGGCTGTAACCGACTGGCGACCAGGACCTGGGGAACCCCCTTTTCGGCTCTGTGGCCCTGGCTTCAGGCAGGCACACATGTTCAGGTTGGTGGGCGTGGGCCTGTTTTGCTGTCGAGGGCCTAGAAGCCGCATGCCTTGCACAAAGTCGAAACAACAGCAAAAAGCTCACTTTTGGTGAGGTCCCACTGGTGCTAGGCTCATGCTAACAAAGCACGAACGTGACCGTGATTACGACCAGGTGCATGCTTTCCAAGTGCAAACACAGCACCAGTGGTGCCTGACTGTCTCTTGCCTGATTCGATCTTCACTGAGCTTTGGCTCTTAACAGATCATGCTTACCAGCAAAACAAAAAACAAAAAACAAAGAAGCTTACCAGCTTGGCGGATATCAAATGCTGAGTCTGAAGCGCTCCAGGTGCTCTGAACATAAACCACCTGGCAGGCAGGCAGGCAGGCAGGCGGAGAATGCCAGGCAGAGAACGGTAGGGAGAGGCAGGCATGCAGGCATGCAGGCGGAGAATGCCAGGCGGAGAATACCAGGCAGAGAACAGTAGGCAGACACGGCAGAGAGCAGCAGGCAGACAGGACACAGAACAGCCGGCAGACAGGGAGAGAACGGCAGAGAATGGCAGGCAGGTGGCATGTTGGCAGAGAATGACAGGCAGGCGGCATGTAGGCAGAGAATGACAGGCACAGGGCGGTGAACAGCAGGCACACAGGTCAGACAGCAGAGGGCATGGTGTCAGAGAAGAACAGGCAGGCAGACAAGAGCAGGGAAGATCAGTCAGTCAGTCAGGCAGAGAAAAGCAGAGAATGGCAGAGAATGACAGAGAAAAAAGCAGACGACGGCAGACAACAGCAGAAGTCGGCAGGCAAGCCAGAAAACGTACCAGCTCGGGAAAAAAAGACAGCAACAAGAATATAAGATGTTCATCCATTAAAATTGGAACGATATAGAGACCTGCAAAAACAAAAACAAAAACAAAAAAAACAAAAAAAAAAGAAGGTTCATCAAACAAGTGTATGTCAAGAGGCCTAAATTGGATACCGTGTGCTTCGGGACATCCGTTAAAATGGAACGATACAGAGAAGGGGTAATTAGCATGGACCCTGTGCAATCAAGGATGACACACATAAATCTAGAAATGGTCTCTCCCCCACCAACCCCTCCCCCCCCCCAAAAAAAAAAAAAAAAAGTACCGGTACGGCAAGAGGCCATGAAGCACAGAACCAAGGACAGGGTGGGAAACAGTTGCAAGATTATACCCCAGTATGCTGGCACCAACAGCGCACTTGACCCCGTACAGTGGTACCAGTACGGGTTGGGACCGCAGGACAGTGGTACCAGAACCAGCCTTGGTCCTGAACCGCATATGGTGGTACTGCGTGGTATGCCCGAGGGCCCAGGATGGGAGAAACAGTGTTGGCCTTGCCCGTGACCCTAGGATGGTGGTAACAGTGGTGCCGGTACTGGCCTTGGTACCCATCATGGGGTATGGAGAGCTAATAACCAAAGCCTACTGACTCCCATATGGTGGTACTGAGTGCTATGCCGAAGGGCCCAGGATGGAGGAAACAGTGCTGGCCTTGGCCCTGCCCCCTAAATGGGCCTTGACCGTACGATCGTAATAACAGTGGTACTGGTACTGGCCTTGGACTCCATATGTGGTATGGAGAGCTATGGCCAAAGCCGCCTACTGACTCGAACTGAGCCTGGACGGGCACAGACAAATGATGCTCTTCGACACCTGACCAAAGTCATTTTTTTTTTTTCTTCTACCTGACGTAAGTCTTTACTACTCTTTAAATCAAAAGTCTGAAAGGAAATTCGCAGCCCAGCTGCTACCTGCGGAAGCAAGTGACGCTCAGAAGTAAAAACGTGGCTGTGAGCGACCATGACTGTAGCGCAGCTACGGGGTCGTGAGGAAGTGGCCACCATAGCCAGCCAGCGCTTGGGATGGTGCTAGACTGGGCAAGAAGACATTGTGGCTGAACTTCCGCATAGTGAAGGAGTTCTAGGACAGCTCTCGCTCACCCTGGAGGTGAGGGATGATTAGCAATTTAGCGCCATAGCTCAGAGATTGACTATAGCGCCATAGCCATTGAGTCAACATATTTTCCTACAGTCTTCCCCCGAATACAACGTACGGTGATTATAGCTGAATTTAGACTGAAAGATACACCAAAATCAGCTATAATCACCGTACGCTGTATTCGGGGGAAGACTGCTATGGTGCTAATCATTGGCCCTTCTTTACTTTACGTCGCTCCACCACTCCAGTGCCTCTCAAACAACACCGAACAACTGTACGTATATCCTCGGCGGCCGCACGGGGCACGACGACGATCCATGAAGAACCCCACCACTGCTCGAACAGTGCGTCTCCGTCAAAACCAACGTGGACCCAATTTGTCAATCTCGTCTTTTTTGCCCTATTTTTGACAGAGACGCGCTGTTCTTGAGCAGGGTCTTCAAATGGCACCAAGCGATTGGCACGTGACCCGTCGCGGGCATGTAGATCGGTCAGACTTGTAGCAGCAAGGAAGTCAGAAGGGCGTACAGGACGCCCGTAAGGAGTTTGCATCGTTGTTTTTTGTTGATGATTGGAGGGGTTGGAAGGACTTTTTTAAGTTTTCTTAATCACAAGACTCCGGCGTATTGCTCGTTCCTATGTGGTGTGGATTTTCGCTTGATTTCTGCTTTCGATTTTCTTCTCTGAGATGTCACAATCTGGATAATTGCTGTTATCATTGCTTGAGTCCTTGCACAACGTCAAAGGGTATTAATGTCCCCTATCTCCTTCCTATGTCTCACTGCCCTCACCC